AAGGGGACGGCCAAGGCCCAGGGGACGGCCAAGATTAACCTGGTGAAAACATATGGAAGGAATCTTTTCCAGACTGCATTTGTCCTTTGCCGAAGCTCAGACTCTGGCACAGGATCGGGAGCGTTGGAAGGAGTGCTTGACTCGTCTTCCTCCATGAAGAGGTGGTCATGGGAAAAGAAGTGAAGTGAATCGTAGCGATTTGAGAAATGTTTCGCCGAATGCTCGTTGCAATGTTATTTTCTCATGCGGAAAGGTCGACTATAATTCTTAGTCATTGACCGTAGGTGTATCGAGGTTCGATTGTTTGTGAGCCATTTAGCCCGCTGCTCCGCGTTCAAACAGACCTCATAGCGTTGCTGCACATTTCATTCCTCTCTGCATCGTCTTCTACCAGGGATCTTGTTATTAAGAGGTACTCTTTGATCTACTCTGCTTTTCTAATTGTCACGTAATCCATTGATTTACTGTTTGCACTGCATGATTTGAAGAAAGTATGCTTCCCAACGAAAATTGACTAGTCGTTAGTGTGATCTTCTGAATAATGGAAGGACGACGACATCGTAAAACAATGTTGTGGCGATGTTTTGCACGTTTTCCGATTTTTATCATCCAGGTGACATTGGCGATACTGCTTGTCTCTTATTTCATGAGTTTATTCATCTAGTCGTCATTTTTCCTTCATTCGTTCTAGTCCATCAGTAGTTATCATTTTGTTAGAGAAACAAAGGATACTATTGAAAAATCATACCGTGATTTGTAACCAGCTTTTCCTTTCGAGCTTTATGTTTTGACGTTGTTTTAGACAGACCCGCCTTAAATGGCATAAAGGGCTCTGTCAGTCGTAAATACTGCTGTTTCTTTAGCCGAACTGTATTAACAGTCATTGCCTGATATCTCAGGAATGGATAGTCCACTATATATTAGTTTGAGTCGTTGTTCTACACGTTGATCGTGATCTGGCCTACGCGATGAGTATACAGAGATTAAATTATGGGGAATAAATTTGCTAGTAACAGCGCTACATTTTTTCGCGAACTCATGCTGCTGTCAGATAAATATCAAGCCAATATTTCAACTGGTTTCTTCTTTACTTCAGTAGAGATCTCTGTTTACTGTAGTCAAACATAATCACCAACGCGCTGCTGGATGAAGGTCTTTCCAAGACTTCACCGTGAACGTTTGTTTTCTTCGAATCTTATCCAACTTGTTGCATCGAATTTCTTCACCTCAACCTGTCATCGATCTGAAGGTCTTGCTAAGGGCTTTATTCCGATTTGGAGACCAGTCTGAGGTCGCTGCTGGTCAAGTGATGGTCGGTTTTTCTGGAGGCATCTCCTGAATTGCCATGTCAACTTCTGTCCACAGACTGTTTGTCTTCCTGTTTTTATTGTTATTCTCAGCATGCATCTCTCCATGCGTAGATTGGAGTTAAAGAATATCTTTCAGGTTTAAGGTCTACATTTCACATCCACAGTTTGACACTGAGAGCAAACACTGGTCGTAATTTGCCTGTTTCAAAACACAAGGATGGTTTTCCGGGTAAGGACATTTTCAGTCTTATTTACTTTGGGTGGTAATCAAGCCATAATAAGTTCTAACCTTCCCAAGCCGTTTTGTTGAACATTAATATGCTAAGCTTTCTTAATTAGATTCTTGATAGAGATTCCTGAATTATAAGGACTGAACGGGAAAATCATACATAAGCTGAGATTAATATAACATCAACCTCACTTTTCAACTGACACAATGAGGTTTCAACCTCATCTGATGACTCAGCTCCCCATCGTACAGAGAATTTGTAAGAAACGACAACGTATCGCTTACTTTTCATGCCGGATCAGAACGGTGTGCGGCTTGCAGATGAACACGCGCGGTACTAAGAAAACTGTTCGAAAGTGCTAACTTTCATCACCGTGAATAAACTGTGCAATGAGCAAAAGAATCTGACGATCCGTTGACAAAAACATGTGCGATATGTTGCTGAGTTCAATGTGCCATGGAGCTCAGCAAAGCAGGGCAGCGTACAAACAGCCGGTCACGACGCAATGAATCCATCGATTGCAGACGGTTGCCTGTTCTTCTCCTGGATCTGCACAGTCGTGCAGGTAATCTCAAACTTTATTCTAAGCTTTAAATTTATTTTACTATATTTCGATCCATAAATATAACCACGGCCTACTGGCCATGAAGACCTGCAACCAACGAATTGCGAAATCGCTTGTCGAGGCCAACTAGGAGAGGGGGATTCTTCACACTAACGGAGTACACTAACAGCGGACTTTCTGCTAATGAGGTACTCTGACTTCAAAATGGCACAGATACAGCGACCAATCCTGCTTTTAATTTAGAAGAGGGATTTCGAATTACTATATTACGTTGCTCCTAAACATTCTGATGATTAACTACAACCAGTTGGAACGAAATTAAGTCAATCGACGCATATGGCGGTTTGCGGAAACCACCTGATGCGCTTATCAGCTGTGTCTAAAACCGGAGGTACCTTGCGTTCAGGCTGGTCGGCATGGAACTGTCCAGCGAAATGAAGAGATGAAAGGGAAAGGTATGAAAGCACTAGTCTGTGGCATTTAAAACCGGATGGGATTAAGTCTACAATAAGAAAGATGATAGGGTCGCAATGGAGCTTGCTCGTACGATTGAATACTGAAGATTTATACGTTTCCTGTGCTGCAAACATTTG